TGGTCTAGAATAACATGTAAGAAAATATGTCACCCCTGGGAGTACATATTGTTCCTCATCTGTTCATAAAGTAAATTTATTAAAACTTTTACTGTCTTAAAGCTAGGGGGTGGAAAGCAAATTGCACTGACCTAACTAACGAAATAGTGGAAAACCCTATTTTTTAAATGCTTCAACAACATGCAAATACGTGTTATGCGGTTTCCAATGACACATATTTTTGTTGTTTCAGATTGATGACAGCAAGGAAGACTTGCGTGTCGTTACTCCTGGATTTGGCGAATATACCCAGCAGAAGGAATCCAAGGGAGAGTGCAATCGCAAGGTCAGTTGAAGATTTCCAGAATATTGTTTTGTATCAGGGGAAAGTTTTTGATTGAGTTTTATTTTTTTCGGGCTTGTCCTTCGCTTTCCATCCCATAAAGGTCATTTTGACCTTCTTTTCCCCCTTCAGGAGAGGGGGGGAAGGGATCGGCGTAGTTTATCCCGGCTGTTAAAATCTAAAATGGCCGCTGTATCAACCATTCACAGCTCGGTTTAATCAAAAGAATAATAAAAAAGAATACAATTTATTATATAAAAGTCAGTGGCATTACAACTTCACGCCGATTTAAGTGTGTACCCCAAATTTTGGGGTTATCAAGTATTCATATATTCAGGCTATTGTTCTTGCCATTATCGATTACCTTCCGAAGAATCCACGAGCGGAATTCCTTTGATTTAGGTGCGATATGTCTCTTTTGTTTCGAATTTTGTTGCTTGATTGACTTTTTAATCCCCATTGTTATCTGATGAGTATTAAATTTATCCATTAAAATACTCGGACTTGCCTGTTAAATTTGCTGCGGTCTGTGGGAACGCTTACAAGTCTTTTAAGTGTGGCGGACAACTCTGGTTGCATAACATATTTTCGGTCACGCACCGTATTACAAACGAAACAAGCCTGATAAATTTGAAGTTGATTAAAGCTTATAAATACCTACTCTCCTATGGTATTTTTTTTATTTAATACTCCCTTGCCTTGAAAATAATTTGACGTTTAAAGAATTGCTGCGAAAGGTATTTATTAGAACGTTTTATTCATTCAGTATTATCAAAACCTGCGCTCTGCAATCAAGAGCGAACAACTCTCTTCAAAATGTAAACAACGCAAGCGGTGAATGCATTTAACGGGATGACACAGATTTATCAGCGTGTAATTTCACTTTTTTGGACGTTTTCGCTTGCCTTTCAGTTTTTTTGTTTAAAAAAACCTTGCGTTTCAGTTACGTGACTGCAGGGCCCGAAATAACCGCGTATTGTCAGTTCACCGATTTGCATGACAACTTGATTCGCGGAGCTAATCGAGTGAGACAGGAAATATCTAAAACTGTAATCGACAGATCAAAACTTGCGGAATTCATAATTCCTCGAAATATTTTCGTAGAAACGCTTGTATAGTTTGATTGCTTTGGAGAAATGAATAACTGTTATGATTGAATGAATGGATAACTCTCCGCCGGCCGGATTTTATTAAGCGATAGGCGAGAAAAAATGCTTCAGCGGTTTGCTTTGTACTTCGAAACCTCGGCAAGAAAAAAAATCCAATCTCGGTCCACAGTGGTCGAAATTTCTCGTTCAAGATCTCTTTTTGAAGCTCTCAAAACTCTCCTTTTTGAAAAATACGTACCCAAGTCGAAGAAGTTTTGCGAAAGGTAAATCCATAAACTTCTACCGCGATATGTGCGATAATTCTCTGCAGTTTTATTGACACATTTAGAACAAAAGGATACCTTTAAAACTTCGTGGCCCTGGGCAGCTTAATTAAGCCATTGTTCAATTCCTTTGAATTCACTTCTGAGTCTTCCGCCATAAAATCTCACCTTCTTTGAACCGAGTCAAAACGAGCACTCGCGAAGGGAAAGTCCGGAGGAATAAACTGAGCCTTCAGGGTACAAAATCCAGCGGTTATGCCCATTTCTGAAATACACACTTAAATAGGCGTGAAGTTGTAATGGTATACCGAGTGGTAACAAATCGATAAAGACGATATGATATCCTCACATGTGAATATATGAGATCCTCACATGTGAAGATATCATTTTTGAAAAAATGATCTTTTGTCCCTTTTAACTACACTTAAATTTATTGGTGTATGATCGAAACATCTTTGGATCTCCTTCGGCCGTCTTCGGCAATCTTCGGAAATGTTAGGAAAATGTTCGGAAACATTCGTCTGGCCTTCGGAGCAATCTTAGAAAATCTTCGGAGATCTTTGGAAAGTGGTCGGAAATCTTCGGAAAATCGTCACATTTTATATAATAAAAGGAAAATTACATGGCCGCACAGAGATACGAAATTTATCTTCTCGTGTAGCAAATATTTCACTCGTTCGCTGTGCTCACTCGTGAAATATTTTTCAACACTCGAAGATAAATTTCTTATCTCCGCGCGGCCATGTAATATCCTCTATATCTTTACCATCCCCTCCACCCGAGATCCAAGTGAAAAATAAAATAGAGACTGGCGATGGCTCAGGATACACATTGGAGTTCATGGACACATTGATTCATTGAATTATTTCCATGCAGAGGAAACTGACTTTTTTTCCAAATTACAATAGTGGTAGAAATCATTGAATTCTAAATTCAATCGATATTAATCGAACTCAAAGTTTTACTACTCTTCTCTCAAAGATAAAATTATTGCCATTTCATCAGACGAGGAAAGAAACTGTTTCGAGTGTTCAGCAGTGATAAGCGATGGAGATCTTGGTCTGATGGACCATTTAAAGAAAGAGCATTGCTCTTCCGAGGTGAGATTTCATGTTTCCAGCAGTATACAAAGAAATGTTTCCTTCCTGTCGTTCCTTTCATTTCCTCTTTTTCTCTGGTGGATGTACGCGTGTGTGTTCTTATTTTTATTTTGCAGGGGTGGGGCGGGGAGGGCGGTTAGTAACAATTCCTTGACTATACTGTGACATTGTTCCTTTAATGTTATTTTTAGCAAATGATAATAGATGTCTTGTCCGAGACATGTATAAGTGTGATACCTAGCAAACTACCCTAACAATTACTCCAAGATTATATCTGAAATTTTTGCTGCATGCTTAATGGTTTTTAAATTTGATTCGTTTTTCGTGTAATTAGAGAAGTGTCAGTCCGTGTTTTCTATTGTATGTAGCTTCTTTAGGCTCTTTAAATAACTTATTTGTTATTGTTATCGACAACTCAGGAATCATCGTCTTTAAGTTCTGAAGATATGGAGGAAAAAGAATTTAATACGTGTAGAGATTGTGGCAAGTCCTTTTCAGCAAAGAGCCACTTAAGAAAGCACAAACGATTGGGTCGCTGTAAAGGGACCTCACAGGAACACGAAAGGTAACAACTACACCAAGAGGTAATAGTAATAATAATAATAATTATTATCATTATTATTATAATGATTAATTATAATAATAATTAATAGTATGGGTCTTCATAGCTCAATTGTTGGAGCAAATGTGTCTTGCCCTCCACTGAATTCCAAAAATAATGGTCTACTGGGTTTGTTATTTAAGAGTATATTATGACGTCCAATCTGTTTCCTGACGTTTTTTGCTACAGATGGCAAGGATGAAAATGGATTGAAACTTGAAAAAGTTGGGCCAACCTTTTCAAGTTTTGATGCTATCTCAACAAAAAATAACAAAAACGTTATTATGGGTTGCTCTTTTGGATACAATTCATTAGATATCCATCTCATAAAACCACTAAGTAACAATTTTAGCGAAGAATTGATCCAAAGCAACAAGGTCTTCATAACATAGCCCCTTTAAATTGCATTTACCTCTTTGCTGATCATATCTTCATTTACATAGTAATATTGTGCAGCCCACCACTGTTGTGGTCGTTCCATTTGTCCTATCAATTTCGTTCATTAAAAGTGAACATTTATTTAATTCTAGGGCATTTCACAAAGCACCAAAACGTCGTCAAGAGAAAAACAACTTGGACATTGCTGTTGATATGTAAGTTCCTATATGGTTTAATAGTCGGCGATAATTATTTTATAGCTTATTGAGATTGTAATTCAGAAGTTAGTTTTAGAGAGAAGCTCTTCTTTTTATTAAAAACTTAAAAAACACGAAACAACTTTTCAAAGATGTTTTGGCATAACTTATGCCATCTTCAGTTTATTCAGTCTTTGACATTTCAGTGCTATATTTATATACATTTGATAGGTAATTGATACTTCTTACTGAATCTATGATCTATGGTAACTAAATATATAAATAACTAACACAGAGATAAACAAAGGTATATAAACAATAAAAAACGGTAAATAACGGTAAAAGATTTAAAAGATGATGGTGTTAAAGGATTGAACTTGCGCGTTCAATTCCGGTTTTAAATTTTGATGTAAATAGCCTCCTTAACTTTGAGAAAGTATGCCGTTCTAGCAGAATGTAAAATATTAAAGCAATCATTTTAGTAACTACTTTTACAACCTATAGAGTTGTTGGGGTGTTTAAATACATGAGAATTTCTGTCAGTTAATGTGTGTAATTAATACTTGGGCGGAGGTGGCCAAGTATAAAGTCCATTTTTCTCGTCGTATTCGACACAGCTTCAATCGGGCTCTACTGGTTCTGTGTTATTTTATGTTAAGTATAATTACACAACGTTTCAATGTCGTTATGACAACATTTTCAAGTGACGAAAAGAATCTGTAACATGACTAATTTATACGATGTGAGGTGATAGAAATGATTAACATATAGTGTTGTACTTAACATTTGTGCATGTTAAGTATGTTGAAATTGAACAAATAGTTTTGCGTGGGTAGAGTCCGATTGAGTGTTCAGGCTTGGTTTATTCTTTCTTATGAACAACATCTCATAAATTAGCAAAGGGGGTTAGTTTCTGAAGAACCTGTGGTGCTGCGTTGTTGGGGAAGTGAAACACGAAAAATTCGTGCTCTACGTATCCTACAAAAATATTGGCGTAGCTGGGTCCCATTTTAATGCCCATAGCTACAACATTAATTTGTTTGTAATAGTTGCTGGCGAATGAAAAACAGTTTAGTGTTAAAACTAGTTCTGCTGGGCGGAGTAGTGTTTCTGAGCTTGGTTCCGTAACAGTGCGTTGATCGAGAAAATATCTAAGTGCTTGAAGACCTTCGCTATTGGGAATGACGGTGTATAGAGATGAAATGTCCATAGCGAAAATTAGTTTGTCTTCACTGAGGAAATTGAAATCACGGAAAATTTCAAGTGCGTGTTGACTGTCTTTAATGTATGAAGGCAAAGATTTGACGATTGGTGTCATAATCTTATCTAAATAACTCGAAATAAGTTCGGTGGGACAACTACAGGCAGAAACAATAGGACGGCCCGGTTTATTAAGTTTGTGGGTTTTGGGTAAAAAGTAAATACACGAGGTTCTAAGGGTAGTGATTATGAGATTGGTACCAGTAGCCGGTAATTCTTGCTTGACTATAAGGTTCTGAATAGTGTCCTTGACAATTTTTTGGTTGACCATTCTACAGAACACATGTCTATTTGCGGCCTTTCCCTACATCAGGACACTACAGACAGCCGTAAAAATCTAGAGCAAAGATTCATTTTTCAAATCGGCACCCTTAATCTCTACGGCATCAACGAACGCTTTTTATTCAATTAATTTTTTCCTGTTTTTCACGTGATCAAGTTCCCACCAATAGCGTTGCTCCTTCTGTATATAAACCTTCCACTACCCACAATTCCTTGACTCGCTCTGACGAAGGGCTAACGCTCGAAAGGCCAGCTTTTCAATCTCTCTACGGTGGTCATATTACATTATCAACTTCGTTGATAAATCAAATTTTCATCTCATAAATTAGACAGTCTAGTTTTCTGTCGCATTTCTTCAGGTCGGAAAAGGTACTTGTAAGGTCGCCAACAGTTTTAATTCCGTGGTCCTTCTTTAAATGCTGGCTGAAAAACGGGGTTCATCGATACGTTTGCAAGTGCCAGCTAGTATAACCGACATACTCTACAACGGACAGATCACATTCATAATCATATACCACGCATTGTTGGTTAGTTAGAGGTGGTTAAGGTCTTCACTGATTTTGCATCTTCTGATCACTGGTTGAAGAGTGTGATCGATTTCCTTATTCAGATATGAGTAACAAAATACTTATCTCACTCATTTACTTTCTTGGATTATTATTATTATTATTATTATAGTGGAGCTAAGGGGCCGCCAAGCAGAGCCCCATACTCATAGAAACCCGGGGTATTACTTGGTGTTACGGTACACGAATTTACGCTAATTAGTAAATGCCAATGTCTATGTCATATAATGAGAGTATCATGGAGTCATGGTTTTAGGGTAGTTTCGAAAACAAAGCAATCGAAAACAAAGACCGAAGCACGAAGCACCCAAATCTCGAAAACGAAGCACCCTAGATCGAACACGAAGCACCCAAAACTCGAAAACGAAGACCCCTAAATCTCGAAAACAAAGCACCCAAAACTCGAAAACGAAGACCCCTAAATCTCGAAAATGAAGCACCCTAGATCAAAAACGAAGCACCCTAAAACTCGAAACCGGTCTGTCCTTTATAAACACAAAACCAATGCTAATACAGCAGGAATCAAGCACAATAACGAATTCTCCTGTTCCCCACCATAGAACCTGGTCCCAGGCTGTTATCCTAGAACAAATTCTGCCTGGATCCGATCTGATCTCATTACGCAGTGTCCTAGATATCCAATTTGTTAGACTGCAAAACAATCGGTTTTTTTCTCAAAATCAGTAAAGAACAGGGGCACCCAACAACAATTTTCGGAACATTTGTTGTAAAATTTCTTCTTTCCATGCCTCTCCTAGGATTTTCGAACAAATAAAAAATGGTATACTTGCCCATTTTTAACTAACTTTTACCCTAAAAAGTTCACCTAGAATTTTCGGGAGCCTATTTTCTGGCTAAAATTTTCGAAAAGGTAAGTTTTGATCCCTATAATTTTCAGATCACTAGACTTTCAGTTAGGAAATCCGAACAGATGAAAAATTTTTAGGGGATAAAAATATGCCAATGTCTACCGTTTAAATACTAAAATACATTTAATAATGCTTTGTTTAAGTGGTTTTGAACTATATTCTCGTTGGGTGCCCCTGAAAGAAGTCGGTAAAGCGTGGCGTAAGAGTAATATGCGCAAGCCTTACACTTCGTTTCCAGCCTCGTTTCAGACCTTTTGTGTTACTGCTCACGCGTACTTGAATACGCAAAAATCTGCTGATGGACAATTTGTTGCTAAAAACATGGAAACATCTAGTGCCTCTTCTCGACATGATGATGTTGAACTACCAAATTTCGACCTTAACTTGTTTGGCACACCTCCATCTAAGTCCGCTAAGAGATTTGCAAATTTGAGCGAGCGGGAGTTAAATCATATGGTTGAACAAAGACATTCAGAGAAGACCAAAAAAACAACAAACTGGTCTGTTTCAACTTTTCGAGGTAAGCCATCTATAGTAACAAGTCCACAATGTTTTCCAGCAATTTTGTGACGTACAACTTAATTGGTAAATGGTAAAGCTAGAAGTGAAAACTAATTACCTCCAGTCAAAAGCCATTTAAATGTCGGCGAGCAAAACTCGTGCATTAACTCTTTATCGGCTGCATGAATTGGGCATAAGAAAAGTAACATTTTTTACTTAAATTCTTGCTGCAAAAAAAGGAAATGAACGATTGTCTTTTTAAGATTGAATTTAATACTTTTATCATAAAATTGACAGGTTATAACAGCAAAAAATTGCTCGATCATTAAACTTAACTGTAAAAACTGCTTCACCAAGTGACTACTCAATGCACAAACAATGACATACGGCTTATATTTCCACATTTTCAGTCTTCTGTTTTGTTAGATTCGTTTAAAAAAAGAATACTGTTTTTTAAAGTCGCTTACATGTTGAATTTCAGCTTGGTGTTCAGAGAAAGCAATACAAACACCGATTGAAAACATGACGACTGGTCAGCTGGACCAGAATCTGAGACGATTTTATGCCGAAGCACGAACAAAAAAAGGGGAGCCATACAGTAAATCCACCGTGCTTGGATTCTGACATGCCATTGAAAGATATCTAAACGCTCCTCCATACAACAAAGGGCTCCAGTTAGCAAGTGATCCCAGATTTATGTGGTCAAACCAGATGTTAGACGCCCAACTAATCAATTTGAGAAGAAATGGAAAGGAAAATGTGACCCACAAACCTGCAATTGAAGAAGGGCATCTCAAACAGCTACAAACCAGTGGCGTTTTCTCTCTTTCTTCCCCGCTTTCTCTTCTTAGAAATGCATGATACCATATTGTCCTTTTCTTCTGCTGAAGAGGCAGTGAAGGGCAAAGAGGTCTCACCACTAACAGCTTCAAGTTTGCAACCGATGCAGCCAGGCGTAAATTTGTAACCATGGCCCATGATGAAGCTTCGAAGAACCATCCAGGTGGTGTCCATGACTCTTCCAGTAACGAGAAAGAAGCTAGGATGCACGAATCAGCCAAAAGCAACGATGGCTACAAGGTGCTTAAGCTCTTTCTTGAAAAGATCAACCCGAAGTGCAGTGCGTTTTTCCAGTATCCGAAGTCAAATGTTAGACCTGAAGAACATGATGAAGAAAATCAGCAAAGTGGCAGGGTTCTCAACCATAAACACAAACCACAGCATCAGAGTGACAGCCATAACCCTGTGGTCCAATGGTGGTGTCCCTGATCGACACATCATGTCAATGTCAGGCCATCGAAATGAGCAATCCTTGGCACATTACAACTCGTGGCCGTTGATTTCTCAGCTTCAAAATTGCAGTGATGTGCTGTCAAGGGCGCTAGCAGTCACTGGAGCTTCATACACAGTCCGTGTTAGCCGTCCTTCACAACAAGAAGGAACTTCTGCTCCTTCCAATATTGCAAGAGAAGTGGCTCCATTTTTTACAGATTGCAGCATTCAAAACATGCAGTTCGTCTTTAATTCGTCGGAAAACCACTCAAAATTAACTAACTGTTTGAGCCGATAAGGTCCTAATTAACCGACAGCATTCTTTGTTTGCTGAGCAGTTTGTATTATTGTATTTTTTGTCTGAGATTGACAAACATGGCCAAGGTGTAGAGTTGTCATTTTTTGTATGAAAATTTTCGTGATTGCGGGCATGTTTCTAACTTCATGTAAGTGGCTCTAAAGTCAAGTATTAAACAAATATTTCTATCCGAAATGGAAGCTGTTAATTCTCTATGTTATAAAAGAAAGGGTAAACGTTGCAGCTGTGCAACCATGGAGTAATGGATGCACTTGGGAGGTTTGCTAAGCACTCAAGAAGCTAGAGTCGCATAGACTCTTACGCTTCTTTCGTGCTTCGCAACCTCCCGTGTGCATCCATAACTCCATGGTTGCACGTTTACCATTTCTTAATTAATCAGGGAACTGTATCATCCATGCTGGGGAAAACTCATGTGAACCAAAACCATTTCTAAAAGACAATAGGTGGGTTCACACTAGACCATAAAGTGCACTTGAAGTGCACTTGAGTTCAAGTGTACTTGAAAAGCACTTGAAGTGCACACAGCTTTTTAGTAAAAAACGGCGTTTACACTTGAGTCAAAGTGAGCAGTTTTGGCGGGAACCAATTCGTCTCTCTTATGACTGCTTATTGCTGCATTAGGACACGAAAGAGTGGCTTGAACGAGTTGAAAAAAGAATAACTGCATTCACCGAATCGCACAACAGGGAAATCACTCTTCTGGAACACAGGTCATTTCGTTTCCACAGCCAAGTCTTGCATTAACATTGTTTCCACTGTCAAATACAGTGAAAAACAGAAGACGTGAAATTTCTGAACTAGCTCATGAATCAGAACTAATAAAAACCCACCTATATTTCGTGGAGAACAGCATCCTCATTCATCAATCATTTCTCACTTGCTCGCTTGAAAGAGTGAAATTTGTGGCTCGAGATAATTGACACTTTGATAATCAACTTCCGACGTTTTGATTGGATAAGTGCAGTCTCAAGGAAGCTTTTGACCTTAGTTGAGAATGCACTTTGGCATTTTGAGGTTTTGAAGTTTCTGTGGCAACTAAGTACTACTAGTCAAAATCAGTCAAGTGAAAAAGGAGGGTTCTGATGGGGTTAGCAGTTAACTGACATTTGGCCAAAAAATCAGTAAACTGCATTTGGCCAAAAACTTAGTAGTTAACTGATAAATAAAAAGTTAACAGTTAAGTGATATTCTACTGATTTCACTAAATATGATCGTTGATGCTAATGAAAGCAACAAGGTTGAAAAAAGAAAAAAGCTGTGAGTCTTTGGATCTAGCCAAAAATAAATTGCTTTCTGATGTCTCAGAGAAATCAGCAACTTTCTTTCAAGTATAAATGGAATTTAATTTGTACCTACGAGAAATCATTTTTGTAACTAATGTTGCAGTTCAAACTATCGAGACCATTACGCTCGTGTTTAAGCCCTTCTCTTTAGACGCTTTTGAAATAGGCAAAAAAGGTACCTCTGCCTAAAAGGTAACATTCAGGGACACAAGAGGATGTTGTGAAATTCTGTTGTGAGGTGCAAAACACTTCTGACAACGCAGGCAAAACTTGCACGTCGTTTCTTACTACAGCACAAAAACATTTAGTGCTTTGAATTACGCCCAAGACTTTGGAACCATCGTGAAGTGACTACAAATTCGAAGTGGGCTACACTCATGAAAAGTCGAATTGTCCCGTGTCTAATACTTTCATGCCTTTGTCTTTGATGTCTCTTCCATCAGTGCAGTGACAAAAGAAGATGAAGTTGTGATGACAGACTGGATAGATAACTTTCGACCTGTTTGACAGCGAACCATAAGAAGCAAATCAACTCAAGATAGAGCGGAAACTTTACCGCCAACGTCATGGGCCTATGTCATGCTATTTGCTATCTTTCTAAAAAGGCAAAAACTTTTTTTGCATCAATTGAATTCCAAAAATAATGGTTCAGTTTTGTGATTTAAGACTATACTTTGATATTGGTATTGTTTCACATTGTCTGTTGCAATACATTGAAACTTAGGTCAACAAGATACATGACATACATCAACCAGATGAGTATATGACTGATTCAGATACGTAAGGTGTGGAAGAAGGCGACTTTGAAGTAGTTTATAGCACGACATGTATGTCCAGGTCGGGAAGATCAGTACGTGATTTCTGCATCTGTATCTATGAGGCCGGTGTCATTTGATGGTTACACGACTTAATCTATTTTTTTTTTACTTGTACTTACAGCAACAATCATTTAATAGGAGCCTTTATAACAATCGTTTACCCATTTTTACTTCTTCAGTTAAATAATCGTTTTCCTCTTAGTCAGTGTTAAATCATCCAAGTATCACTTAAGAAATAAGGATTTTCATATACCCAGATTTAATACTGTACATTAAGGGAAACATTTTATTTTATATGTACTGAGATTTACCCACTGACAAGGCACGAAATAAATTTGGTTCGCAAGCTGGTCTAAGAACCTGACAGCCAATCAAATGGAGTGTATTGCTTTTTCCACGTGTGAGGAAAACGATACGTCCAATCAGGTGCTGCGTATCATGTTTTTTAACGTGTGAGCCGTAACAAGAAGATTTTTATTCAGCTGGCAGCATTTCACTTTTTTAAAGAAATCTTTCGCAAGTGTTGAAGCTTAAAAACATGAACGAGAAAAGGTTTGTTGATCACGATACTGCAGTCAAGGATTACGTGGAAAGTCTCAAAAACAAATACGAAAGAGAAAACGAAACAAGATGTGAAATTGCTGGAAACGTTTTTGAGAAATGAAAAGAATGACAAGTGAGAAGTGCAAGACATAGAGCCCGCAGAATTGAACAAGCACCTTGCGGAGTTTATTCGTTCTGTGAGACGTAAAGACGGAGAGGATTATGAGCCTTCAAGTTTAAGATGTCTTGTTTCAAGTATTGAAAGACATTTGGAGAAAAATAATTATACTAACAGTATCATTGACGATAAAGAGTTTGAATTGTTTAGAAAGTGTTAACAGGCTAAACAAAAAGAGCTGAAGAAAGCAGACCAAGGGAACAAGGACAAAGCTGCTGTGGCAATCACTGACGAGAAAGTCGATATATTCTATGAAAATAATTTGCTTGGAGTTTCCTCTGCTGAATCATTGTTGAGTACTATTTGGCTGAACAACACCATTCATTTGGGAATGCGTGGTTGTCAAGAGCATAGGGATTTGTGCTGGGGAGATGTAAAGCTTTGTAAGGATGCACAAGGTAACGAATATCTAGTTTACAATGAAAGGCAGACAAAAACAAGGTCTGGAGTAGACGCCTCAAACGTTCGAAAAGTTTCCCCGAAAATGTTTTCAACTGGTGATGAACGAGATCCTGTGGTGGTGTACAAAATTTACTGTGAAAAGTGAACGGAAAACATAATGGCTGACAATGCACCATTCTACTTGGAAATAAACCACACAAAAACAGATGGCTCCAAAAAACACTGGTTCAAGTCAGCACCTATGGGTGTAAATAAATTAAGCACTTTGATGAAGACAATGGCTTCAAAAGCAAACATCAACAACGAGTGACTCACCGACCATAGTACTCGTAAACACATGATTCAAAAACTTGATGACAGTGAAATTCTGCCAACACATATAATGCAGTTAATTGGCACAAAAACGTGCAAAGCATAACAAACTATAATAGCTTGAATGTAAATCAACAAAAAACATAGTGCGTATCTTAAGCCGAGCATCGTCGCAAACACAATTAACCACTGCAACTAACAAAACTGCTGCTGCTAGCACTTGCACTAGCAAAACTCCGATGAGTTTTTGCGATGGAGCAATAATAAGTGGAGGACAATTTACAATTTCCATTAATGCACTTACTACCTCGCCGACCATTCAAACCAGGAGTTCGCAAAAAAGGTGGAACAGAATCCGAACTGAGGAGTCTGACTTGGATTAAAGTTTAGAAATCATATTTTAACAATATTTGCTTGCTGTAATGTTAAATTTCAGGCAGAAATTTAAGCTTATGTTATAATCCTTGCATGAGTTTTTAACTTGAGTTCGTGTAACAGAGTTTTGTCTTGGTCTGTCCTTAAAGACAATAAACAAGAATTTAAGAGGTAGTCCCGCTAACAGCGGTCCGATCGATTTCGCGTCAGAAAATAGTTTCCCTTTCAACTTTGTACACTAAAAGGGTTTGGTATATAAGTAATAAAAATGATTTTCTTTTTTGCAAATAATATATTTCCGCTTTCCTACAGGCGCGATCACGTCCGGGCCAATTCGTCTCCTCCAGAGCCCGATTTAAAGACCGAAAATTGTCGTTTTTAAGGGTCGCGTCAGATCGAAACTACAGATAATTATAAAGTATCCTTTACACCACCTGTTTCCACTGCCTTTTATTGACAAATGTGCAAAATATCGAACTTTTTGATAATTTTGCAGACAATCTGTAAGTCCCGAAAGACACCACTCTGAACAGGTCGGCCGACTGCCAAAAAACATGCTCAGATTCGAGAGCTAAAATCTCAATTGTGGGACAAAAATCTGATATGAAATTTATATCAAGATCTAGGTATTACTTCATTTTAAGAGGTTCTAAAGTCAAATCTGCGGGTATCCGCCTGCACACGGAGCAGCGAGAAGGTAAATTTGGCCATCATGGCACTTTGTTTACAAAAATAACTCTGACTCTATAATTAGTAGAATATATTTATCTACTTGATCGATCACTCGCTTGACCGAAAAAATATTCACAGCTCTAAAATTTTGCTTAAATGTTTCCTCAAAACCTTCAAATAAGCGCTTTTTTTGTAATTTTATTTGAAAATCAAAAAAGGCGAAATATTTTAGGTTTATAGAGCTAAGGTCAAAGAAACCACTATTGCTTATATGCAAATTAGCTGGTTGTCACGCAATACCTAACCAAAGTGGATGAGAAAGCAGAGTTTGTATCATGGCGACTCGTTTTCTAAAAACACGAGAATTTGGAGACTGTGGGGAATTTCGAGATATAGCTGAACGTGTGTGCTTAGATCAATGTAGGAACGATTTAAGTCAACAATTTTTCCCGATGTCATTTGAGTCGAGGGCGGATTATGGAGAGAGAACACAATTCTGTTTGCAGAAGATAAAATCGTGGGAACGCTCGTTCGAGATTGGCTAGCTTAGCCGTATTTGCGTTGTAATAAAAGGGCGACATGCCTTGTTCCGCCCATCCTCTGAGTACTCTAAAAACACCCCAAGGGACGGACCATTAGAGAAACTAAATTGTTGGTAACAATATAAAGGAGCATTTGTATACAGGAAAAAAATACCCAAAAAGTTCAAAAACGTGAAAAAATGTTGTCGATCACCTCCCCAGTCACTTTTTATATATTTGTGTGTCCCAAACAGCATTGCGTTCAGACTTGCAAACCAAAACGTGGAAGCTTTTATTTCTCGTTTCTGTGTTTAAATGGCACAATCTGCTTTACTATCAATATGAAATGCCTTCTTTGGTGAATTCTACAGTCGGTTTTAAAGTCAGCCAATTTACGCAGAATACGAATTACTGGCACAGTGACTGAGATCCAGCCATGTATTATATAGCACAGTGTGAATGTAACGCTCGAGTCGCGCACTGATAGAAAATCTATACGCTTACTATGTGCCCTATATTCGCCTCTTCAGTCAAGATTAACTTTAATATTTCACCCCAGCTAAAAAAAACCCGGATGTTTTTGGTTCAGAATCTCCCATGAAACATGAGTAGCGAAATACGAAAAATACTAGGCTAACAAAAATATGTCTGTAAAAGAATCCAGGCTAGGCTAATTTTATGCCCACGAGACTGTTTTGTAAGGTGTTGTCAATTCATCTTAGTGTAGTACAGAAATCCAGGGGTAAAATGCACTTTGTGTATTTTGTTATCTAATAAAAGTCTCAAATCAGAACAAAGTTTCGCAAACAAGTAAAGCCTCCCCCGAGCCCTGTACTCCCGCTCATATACTATAATTATTTACGGATCCAGGGTTTCATATACAGTTCACTTATTTTAGGATTTTCACTATAAGGGGCGGAACATGGGTGTGGTGCTGGGGTACGGCTTTCTCATCATTCTAAAAAGGTTCGTACATAGAGCTCTTGTTCACAACACCCTCTCGAAGTGGAACATGCTAACTGAGTTCACGGCCCAGTTGATTCGCCGAATAAAAATCAATGTGTTCTTTTCCAGCCGTGTTTATGAGCAGCTACACTCTTCCACCATGTCGGTAAAGTGTTTAATCAGAGCGGCTTTCTTGTCCGTTGATTTACGTGGCAGCTCAAAGTGGTCACACATTACCCTCAGTTCCTTCACAGTAAAGCGCGACAATGCCTCAGTCTTGACCAGATCGCAGATGTCGTAGCCATCATATGTGATCGGACGTTCCAGTCCTATTTGAGACAGCACCTCTTGAACATCCTCATCTTTGTTTTGTTGGTCCAGGTGTGCAAGATCTTCATCCAGCAGAGTATTTTCGTCGTCTTTTTCCACGTGTCTCTGAGTCACCTGTTTCTTCTGCGCTGCAGCAAATCGGGAAAAGAAGGCTTGAACTTGTACCTTCTTCAGCCACTCGTCTCTCGAGAATTTTCTAGTGCCGTCTTGGTTTTTGGCGCTTCTCATATCCGCTGACACTTGAACTGGACCAGACTTTCTTCCAGTTTGTACCCCGACGTCAAATCGGGCTTGGAGATATGACTTTACGTTCTCTGAGAACCTTGTCCCACTACCCCTCGGTTTCTGCAAGGCCCATCCGGCTTCAGAAGACTCCGCATGAGTTGCTGTCATAGTGCTTTTTGCTGATGTAGGCTGCTTCGGTTTCTGCTCACTTACTGACATTGCCGCGAATTTCCGAACCCACTCGCGACGCAACTTGTCGTAAACACTTTCTTGATTTGTGCTGATGGGATCATGATAGCCAAAGTTGATGTGGTCCTGTAAGGCATCATAGTTATCGAATGAATGTGAGCAGCCGGCTTCGTTGCATTCGAATAGCGCAGTTTCTGTGTCAAGCTTTACTCTTTGGTTCGTCTTTCCTTGTAGTTTTACACACCTAGGTTGAACATCCCAGAACTGTAGTTGGTTGGTGGCAGGTTTCAAGGTTATTGCACAAGGAACTTGGACGTCTAGGTCTGACCACAGCACGAGTTTTCCAGCTCCAATATCATAGGCTTTCCACATTCGCAGCCCAGTTCCCTCAAATGAAAAGTTGTGAAAGGTGCTGAAGTTTGGGATGCGGTTTACCTTGATTTCTTGATCAGTGCGCTCTATCTCGCAAACAGCAGCTGTGCATCCCTTCACTGGTCGGACCTTGAGCGTTTCACGCATGTCTGCCGCCGACAGGATATCATTACCCTCGTTACAGAAGCGTCTGACCACGCCCTTCAGGGGGCTGATGATGCGGTCGCACACATCCTTCCCGAACTGCGGCTCCGAAAAGTCATACCCAGAAATCAACGGTGAAAGCGCTTACTGGAAGTTGTTGTTATCTGATTAATCCTTAAAGTATCGAAACAAACATCCCCTTGATAAGAATTGAATTTTACTTTCCCGTTTTCTTTTATACAAATCATATCCGGCGCATGCATATTTCGGTATCTAGAGTGACGAGTTTATGATCTCTGCAGTGAAACGCAATGGAGAATAATAAATACGCACGTGGCTACTTAGCGCACAGAGGTTATGAAATATATGAATGTAGCATGTTTGTTCCTTGAGCTGATATCTCGGAGTAGTAAAATGTTTACGATGTGCAATAAGAGATATAAACAATAAAGCAATTACCTTAACACACTTATGCCAGTATGAACGTGAACCTCATTCAAAGCAGCAATCAGGTTGTTGTTGTGATAACATCCAGCTCCATCTGAACGCAGCAAGGCTTTGCTGATGTGCGGGTTGGCGATTTTCAGAGTCTTCAAGAGATGCTTAATTATCGCGTAAACTGTGTAAGAGTCTTGGGCACAATTGTTAAAGAGATGCACATAAGAAGTAACCTCAAGCTGTTCTCTGTCTGCTGGTTTTGATAGGACACAGCTTATATGCCAGTTCATCCCACGCTTTCCATACCATTCTGATTCTTTCTCGCGGTATTTCATCTGTATAAACTTCATGGCCCAATCCATCACTATGAGAATGGTATCACTCTGAAGGCAATTAACGGCATCAGTTTTCGCGCGATCTTGATTCTCTGCCCTTCGGATGTGGGCCTTCCACTGGAGAACCATGTCCTGTGCTTGAGCAGCATCGCACAACATGTTTTCTTGCTGGTCTCGGACATCTTGTGAACCTTTAATCTCAGACAAAACAGAGCCCAGTGTGTTCCTGAGACTGTCGCAGCTTTCACACAGCTCCATATGATCATGAGTACAGGATGTCTTGAACTCTAAGCACTGCGTATCGCTAAGTGCGTGTTCTCTGCAGTGCTAAGCACACAGATTGTCGCTGTCTTCACGACAGTGCGCACGGTAGCTCGTTTTTAAGTAGCGCTTTGCTCCCTTTAGATTATCCCGAGATCCCTCGCACCATTTATGGCGTGCACCACACTGCTTCAAGTCATCCACTATTTTATTGAGTGTGTCAAAGCCTTCTGCCCCACTTGATGCCGTGTTATCTAAGCCCTGGAGTGACTTGCGCTGTGATGCCTCTCGCACTTTCAATATCCTGTATAAGGTGGACCTGCCTAAAGGCTGATAGTCTTCTTCTCTGCACCACTGATGATATTGCTCAATCATTGTTGAACGCCCTACAGTTCTGACTACGTTAAGCATAACCATCTGCTGACCTGAGTCCAGCTTAACTGTTCTCGTTCCAAAAGAAACATCTTGATAAAAATAAGGCTGGTCAACAAAATCCAAAAAGTGTTATAGTTTCGACCTATCAATGCGTACCCTGTAATGAGGAACTTTTTCAACTTCGAGCCCAACTCCTACAGTTTTTGCATGTGTTCTTGCTTTCTTTATTTGGCGATCACTGAGCTTCTCAAAGGGCGCGTGCATTGCCTTCAGTTCGTTTGACGTATAGCGCAAGGCATATATACTTAGGATCTGTGTTTTTAGATTCTTGGTTGGTGCTTGCCTGTAGGCTGACGTCAGTACCTCGACCTCTTTATCTGACCTGGAAGCACGCTTCACGTACGATTTCAGCAACTCCTCGCTAGAGCTTGGTGCGATCACTTTACACACTGCCCGACAGACCTCGTCAACCTTCTCTTCGCACATCTGCTTTTCTTTCTCTGTTGCAGTGCCCCAGTCCACTTTCAGCCTAAAGGTCAACGGCTCTAAAATCTTGATATCGGACAGTCCAGCGATTTGCGCCATTGCGGTATTATACACCTCGAATGTCTGGTCTGGAAAAGTCTGCATGTCCTCGCCTGTGCTGTCATCGTCCACTGACTCTAGTTTGCGCCACTGTCCAGGTGTCCAAGGGAAGTCACCAAGTGGTGTGGAAACAGTTGGGGTGTCTGGTGGGATCTCTCGCATCTCCGCCAAGGCCTTGTCTTTGCTCTTCCTATATGAGACACAAGAAGGCATTACCACATGACAATGATGGAAAAGCGACTGGCAAGAGACCTACTGCTAAAGGGAAGCTAGGGTGATTTCCCTCCGAAAACTTCAAGTTATGGAATTTAGCAGCATATAAGAGGCATATCTCTTCTAATGCCTAAAATCACCCCGACGGCCACGCCTACACCCAGAAATTGTTATTAGAGGGCATTTCATATCGATAATAAAGCGATTGTGCCATTTAAACAAACAAATAAAAAAATAAAAGCTACACATTTTGGTTTGCAGGTCTGAACACAATGCTGTTTGGGACAAACAATATAAAGTGATTGAAAAGGTGATCGACAACACTTTTTTCACGTTTTTGAACTTTTAGGGTATTTTATTTCCTATATACAAACACTCCTTTATACTGTAACCAACAATTTAGTTTCTTTAATGGTCCGTCCCTTAGGCTCGTTTTTAAACTTTTAGGGTATTTTTTTCCTGGATACAAATGCTCCTTTATGTTGTTACCAACAATTACGTTTCTCTAATGGTCCCGTTCGTGGGGTATTTTCAGAGTACCGAGAGGGTGGATGGAACAAAGCATGTCGGCTTTTTATTACAACGCAAACAGGGCTAAGCTAGCCAATCCCGAACGAGCGTTCTCACGATCTTATCTTGCGCCAACAGAATTGTGTTTGAGCTATGACAAGAACTGAGGATAACTGTTTTTGCGCATTTTAATGTCAAAAACAAGAATATTTATATTAAAGATACCTAGTCAGCAGTACTGCATCATCTTCATCGCGTGGTCCCGCATTCGCGTTTCCTCCCTGTAGCCACGGCCAATTACTCTGGACCCTTTTGCCGTGCGCCTTTCTACAGCTACTACAGATCGCTTAAAAAAATCATACACGAGATTATTCATAATATCTGCTATTTGCGCAGGTTGTTTATGAGTCTCAATTATTTCAAATAAGAGGTAATCCAGAAAATAGGCAAATACTCACGTGCTCCGACAGGAAAAAGAACACCAAACACTTCCATTACTTCCCTTGATACCTTCAAAGTAAATGCGCGATCTGTTCTGACCGCTCTGTGCTCTCCCTTGTGGTCAGGGTACTTGCATGAGCTTAACTTTGTTTGATTTCCCCAGTACTGCCCGAGATACGCACGGTGCTTCGGACAAACAAGCATTTTTTGTCTCTGTGTTTCGGTCGTATAAAACAAACCTGAACGCACCAAAATCAATTCTCCCTCCATAATCCGTTCTCGACTCAAATGACATCGGGATAAATGTTGACTTAAATCGTTCCTACATTGATCTAAGCTTACAAGCTCAGCTATACCTCGAAATTCTCCACAGTCTCCAAACTCTCGTGTTTTCAGAAAACAAGTCGCCATGACACAAACTCTGCTTTCTCATCCACTTTGGTTAGGTATTGCGTGACAACCAGCTAATTTGCATATAAGGAATAGTGGTTTCCTTGACCTTAGCTCTATGAACCTAAAATATTTTTCCTTTATGATTTTCAAAGAAAATTACAAAAAGCGTTTGTTTGAAGGTTTTGAGGAA